ATGGCATTGACTGTTCAAAAGAACTAAAATGACATTATTAAAATACAAACAAATTAAATATGTTACAAGAACTCGTCACATTTGTTATCAAAATGGCCCAAATTATTTATAGAAAGTAAAATTACATTAAAAAAGTTAATTAAAGATGAGTGTGACAAAATTGGGTGTGTGTATCCGCCACACTAATTATTGGGGATAGCCTAACTAAAAAATTTAAATAATTTTTTTGCGCCTTTTTATATTTTAAGCTGTGACGTCCTTCTACCAAGCTCCTATTTTATTGAAAATATATAGTAAAAAATTAAACCGAAAATAATAAATTTTATATAAAAAAGGTGCTTATTGTAAAGAGATTCTAAAATAAGGTCGAATTCCAACCAAATTGCCCACTGCTGTAATAAGACACCACTTTTATACCGGCTTGTCTATATAAATACACTTATAAATATACTTACAAGTAAATTTCGTGGACCAAGACATTTTGTTTCTTATCCATAACTTTTTCCACTTCCTAATAATCTAATATACTAGTGAACCCGCATGTCGTCAAAACGCCAACATTTCATTAAATTTTTTAAAACAAAGTAAGGCTGCCAAATCTTTTTTCTCAAAATTCAATACTTTCGGCTTTTTTAGCGTTAAGTAATCAGATAATTTCAGAACACTTTTGTTAGACGCAAAAATTGTACAATTCACTGTTAGTTTTATCAAGCACGCTTTAAAACAAACATAAAAATCAAATTTATTTTTACGTAATTAGGTACGTACATATCGTCGTTCAAAGTACAAAATCGCGCATCGTCATTCTGCGAAACCGCGTAACTGACATTTGCTATCAAAAATTGGATTTTCTCACACAAGCTCTTGGCTCAATTCTTGTCCATTAGTCTTGAAATATACCAGCCAGAAATGCGATTGCTTTATAAAATAAAATTATAGTTCAAAAAACTGAAACCTCCCTATTATAATTGCCATTCGTTCTGTCACCAGGTATGTAACTTGAGAATAGAAATCTTTGCATCTTTTAGGCGCATCAATATTACATAGTTACATCCCGAGCTAATAAAAGGAAGGTAAAAAAAGGGAACCGTTTTGAAATACGAGTGTGTTTTTACGCTCTACATAATAATTTATGCAACCTCACATACGCGGTTTTACATTTAATTGATACGCGGTTTTGTACTTTAAACGACGATATGTATACATACGGGTTGGATACAAAATTATTATCGTTTAATATTCTGTATTAAAAATTATGAATTCAAAACTCTGTATAGCAAAATGCTGTATCAACCATCCGGCCAGAGGCACCTTCCAAATTAAGAGTCCGAACATTTCGTGTACATGTCTTGGTCGTCATCAAAAGGGGGGTTTCTCATCCGAGGCTTCCTTTTTTATTCATTTATAGAGGTTTTTATGTGGTGGGTGCCAATCCCAGAGTGACCCTACCGAAGCTCTTTCTATTTCTGCTGCGACCCGAATCCACTTGGGTTGCTCACGTTCAGTGTTGCCATTTTACACGTTTTCCGGCTAGATTTAGCCAGTTGCGATAGCAAACAGCCGGAGAAATTTCGATTTAGCTGGCAGTCGATTTGTTAGCCGTTTTGCAAAAAATAAATTAGCCGATTTTGATATTTGTCTGGTTTTCTTAAAATTCAAATATATGTATATGTTTCCATTTTTGACTAATCGATCCAAAATCTGTTAGAAATGGCTGGGCAGGGTTATATAAAATTAGGCCGATTTTGCTTATTTTTTCTAAAGAAGGCCGTAGCGGGGATTTTTTTCATAAAATGTTTTTTATGAACGGCACAAATTTAAGTCGTTTGTGTTTCGATATAGTGCCAACACATAGAATAAATATTACAGGTGTTGTGTTCCCAGCGCATATTCAATTCTGCCTTAATTACAAAACATCATTGTTGTCCACGCTTAATGGTTTAAGGTAAGGGAAAAATTGATATTTTCAAGCACTATGTACACATACATATGTATTTTTTTGAACAAACTTTTTTTGCTGAGAACTTATTTAAATTCCGAAATCCGAAGGCCAACTTGAATTAAAAGAACCAGCACTGAAATGCATAAAAATGAAAGTAAAAGAGCACAAATTTCTATGTAAGGCAAAACTCTCTAGGAAGACAATAGGTTTGTTCGCCGAAAATCCAGCGAAAATTATCACTCAAAAATCAGTTAGTAAGAAAAAATGCTCCCAAATTCTCTCTCAAGTAGAGAAACTTGCAAATTTCTGCACGAACGCAAATTTGCAGGAACTTGCAAGTTTCTCTGCCAGCTAGTGTCCACGGTTGCATTTAAAACATAACAAATTTGTATAGAATTTTAAAGTTCTTTCAGAGCGACAAAAAACAGGACCTACATGTATATTTCTAGCTAGTCCGACTTTCTTCAACACACGTTTCAATTTCTTTGCCGTACTAACTGTCGCGTTTCCTATATCGACTCTGGTTGAGATTGCTTTAAGAGTACGTTTCAAATCATTGGAATTAACTAAACTAATTAAGTAAACAAGTCTTTATTAAATTTTTTATTATAAATCGCTCAAGTTTGTAAATTTTTAAATTTGACGAACCTGTTTATTCAAATTATTGTCGACAAAAATGCAACCATGTGCCACATTCATATGTTTTTTCTAATTGCAAATTCTTGCCGCCAAAATTTTTTCCAGCTTGAATTTGCAACTTCTCCCCACGAACTAGTCTTTCTACTTATGATTTATTTAAATAAGACATGTGAAATTTAGTTGAAACAGTTTAGCCGTTTTTAGCCGGTTTTTTTGCCAATCTAGCCGGTTGGCCCAGAAAGTTCTGCAACACTGCTGGGAAGACGCATACAATATTACCTACAGTTGTACATAAATATGTATGTATGAATGCTTTTAGTTCACCCAATGTGCCGCTACTACTTACATAAAATGTATAAATTGCCACTGAGCAAAACTGCTTAAGAAAAAAGCATTAGTTTAACCCATTAACGACGAAGGGGTATTTAAATACCCCCAAAACACAGTTCATCCAAATCGCCATATCTCGGAGACCGTAACAGCTATGAGACTGATTTATTTTTTGCAAGGTTACGAAATTGTGGTGTAAGTTACTGTTTCTATAAAATGTTACGGAATTCCGAATGGTTTTTGCCGTTTTTTTAATCAAATGTGGTAAATTGAAAAAAAATAAAAAAATTATATTTGCCAATTCGTATAAAATTTAAAAGTTAGTAGAACAAGGTCAAAATACATGATCAGTTTGCCTATAGTATTCTCTAAACACAGCAGGAACCAAAAACTTGATCACGCAAATGCACTGGGAATCTGGCTCCTATGTCTTGGAGGGGGTATTTAAATACCCATCCGGCGAAAAGAGTATAAAATATTAGATTATATTGACTTTAACATAACTTTCTTAGAAGGAAAAAAATGAAGGTCCTTCTGTATTTTTTATTAAAGAAAAGGAAATAAGTAATGCAAAATATATTATTTATTATGAAATATTTATTAGTGAGATCTTTTTATTTTTTTGCATCGGGTTCGACTGCATTGTGATAGTCAGAAAAACATTTTTTTGGATGAAGCAATGCGTTACAATTTTTACATCCAAATTGAGTTTTTATGCCGCATTGACGACAGCGGGCGCAAGTACGTACATCAGTTACCAAAGCTTCCGCAACTTCCACACGGAAATCGAATTGATTCATCGGCTTGGACTTTTCATATTTTGCACAAAACACTTTCAGTTTCCAGGCATTAACCATAGCTGCATCAAAAGCATTCGTTAGCAATGGCCAATACCACTTCTTTCCACGAATTTTAATGCGATAATTGTTCATAGCATTGTCGAACAAGTCTACGCCACCCATGCGATGATTGTACTCGTGAATGAGCAACGGCTGGGGAACAGTAATCATTTTCTTGCCTTTGCGATCATATCTCTTAACATGGCGTAGTGGCTCATGTTTAAGAAAGTTTGACATAATAGTTACAACCTGTTATATACTCATCACAAAACAAAAGAATATTATACAACAGAAAAAATTAAAAAAAAAAATTATTGTATAAAGAAATTACCGAATTGTCATTCCAGCGTGTAACTAGTACTTTGTTATTGCTATCAAATACGAAATCAGAGCTTCCTCTCGATCTTTTCTTCATATCATTAATGCACACCAAAGGAGCATAATTAGTTCGATTATCACGCACAGTGCCCGTTGCGAAGTACCCATTACAGCTCAAGCGACGCATCAGCTTATAACTCGTAAAAAAGTTATCAAACGTCACATTGTGGTTCTCGGGACGTTCGAGATGGGACAATAATTGGAGAACAACGTTTTCTCCAAGGCTATAATCATTACTGAATTTTGTAGCTGCACCTGCATACGGTATGAACTGGTAACAGTAGCCATCGTCCGATGTCAAACACCAGTATTTGTACCCAAATCGGATTGGCTTGCTTTTTATAAACATTTTACACGAATGACGTCCATAATAAGCGATCATCTGCTCATCTATGCTTAAATTGTGGGAGAATACGCCGAACTGCATGAACTTTTTATTCAAAGTATCATTCAGCGGCGATACTTTAGCAAATTTGTCACTCGGCCGAAGGTTTTGGTTATCACAAACGTGTATATATTTCTTGATTTATTTAAATCTGTCTCGGCTCATAGATCTCTTTATATATTCACAACCTAGACATTCCCTATTAGACCAATATGCTGGTATGTTAGGCAAGGTATGATAGCCAGTAATGTACAAAATGCCAAGGAAACTCTTTACTTCGTCCATTGTTGTGACAAATTCAGGATCTTTATTTTGTGCAGCATACCCATTTGTGCTATCTACAACAAGCATAAGTACCTCATCATCTATGAAGCAATTCCACAACTGAAGTGGAGACATTGATCCTGAATGCACTCAATAAGTAATAAGTTTAAGAAAAAACGCGAGGCTACTTACCAATCTTCTCATATAGCTCCTTATGTGAGCTTGCAGTATTATCAAAAGGTTCCTTGCCAAACTCGTAGTTTTGCCGGTGGCTCCACTTTGGGTTTTGTGATTCAATCACTTTGCGAGTTTCTTGTGCCGCTTTCGATGTGGATGGCTGCAAATTGAGACCGTCGTCTGCGATTTTCACCAAGTTTTTATTGCCGTCGTTATATATATATTCCACTTCAAAACTGCCGGCTACTTCTTGAGGAAACCTTTCGACATCTGTGGTAATTTGAATATTGTCATCTAGTTCTTCCGTATCACTGACAGCATCCACTTTTTCAGGTGGCGCAATAATGATATTTATTTCATCTGCATATCCACCGGATTCATCTTCGTCACTCCAACTATCTACTTCTGCCTGTAGTTCCAAAGCGGTTAAAAACTTTTTTCTTATCATTTTTACTGATCAACACAAAATTTTGGTATTCACTTATATGCACAAAAGTTATTTTTCAATGCTGTTTTGATAATACTTTCATTACACAACCTATATCAGATGTTTGCATTGGCAAAAGTGTGCTGCCATACTACGCATTTTATATATGGTCAGAACTCAGATCTGACGGATGATTATTTAAATACCCCCTGAAAATCACGATTATGGTAAAAGTTATATGCCTGAAATTTTGCAAGACAACTTGTATGACTTATATAAGCACTCTGATAAAATTTTAATAAAATCACACGACGGGATCTATGAGCAGGCTTTAATGGGTTAATAGCACGAGTGCAACACCGTACACGTGATAGAAGTAAAACTTCTTAAAAAAAGCACATGTGTGCGCCACACACCTGGTAGAAATCTTAGCAAAAATTAAACTATGAGGCAATCAGACGAATACAGTTGTTTATTGTATCCAAAGTTGGTACCAAGTTGATAAGTTTTTATCATTTCTCTTTTTTTTTTTGATTATTTCGAATACAAAGAATATGATCATTCTTTTTCGCATTAATCCTATTCAAAAATTTATATGTTTCAATGGACACATCAATTTGAATACATAATTTAGATTTAGATAACATTTTTAGCAATTTATTTGACAAAAATAAAACTTTTATGTTACTGTTTGTATTTTCGTCGATTTTAAATTTGCTGCCCCAAAATAATTGATATCAAATAAAACACCTCTTTGAGGTAAAATTTTCGAGTGACGAAAGCTGAATTAGAAACATAAAATTTATGATATCGGTACGGAAAATCTTTTTTTATTTATTCGGAACTTTGCGAAATTCCGTCTACTGCTAGAAACACAAAATAAAAAACAGAACTTTTGCCACGATTGGTATGAATAAAAAAAAATTTTCCGTACGTTTCCAAGGCAGATAAAAAATGCTTTTTATTTTCGTCACGAAATTGATATTATAAATTTTTTGTTTCTAGTTCAGCATTCGTCACTCGAAAATTTTACCTCAAAGAGGTGTTTTATTTGATTAAATATGCATCTATTTATTGCTGCTGTAGTTTGGTTTATTCGGATGAATTTCACATTTACCACAATGTTTGTTGGTGGCCTTGGAATAAAACCAATATGTGGTCGAAAGGATATCAATCGCGGAAAGTGTTTACACTGCGTCGATTCGTAGTTTTCAAACGCTTGAATAGTTTGTTTCTTGCTTTTGTACATACTAACATGAACGTATGCTTATTAAAAAACAAATTTTTTGCTTGTGTAAATTTAGCTGCAAAATATTCCAGCAAAAACTTTTTACTTTTTGGGAATAGATACTTATTTTTGTATCAATGAAGTAACGCAGTACAACTCGCCTGAAGACAATTTTCGCATGTAATGCAACGGCAAGAAATTTTACATTTATTCGATTACCTCCAATGACATGGACATCTTAAAATAATGCGTTCTGTAGACGAAAAGGTAAGCGGTTAGTCTCGAAATGCTTCTCCAATCGATGAGCGAAAACGTCTTGAGGCGACTTGTCCCACTCGGAAAAGTGGTAATGCATTACATGCGTGAAAAATAGTGTAATGTATTTCTTATAAGTTCTCGATTCTGTTACTGTCAACTATGTAATCAGCATTCTAATGCTCAAGAAGTTCCAAAATTTTTATAATAAATCACATTCATTTCTCGATATTTAGTAATGAAAAAATGAATGCCCCACTTTTCTTAGGATATTGCCGTAGAGAAAAACATGCATTTCGAATGTGAAAAGGGTTGTTTTACTGATTTTTTTTTTCGATACCTATACATTACATTTCCCCACTGGGATATTGCGTTACTCCATTGGTACAAAAATAAGTGCTTCGCAAAAATATATAAACTTTTTGCTGGGATGTTACATCTTGTTGCCAATTCCTCTTTTAATGTCGGATTCCAAACATTTTCCATTAATTTGAATATTTTGCGCAGGGCCGGCTTGCGGAATTTATTTCACTTTATTTAAATATCCAAGCGCTTAAGGTTGGAAATCTCAAGCAACTGAGAATCAGTGCGTTGTTGGTCATTCAATACGAATTGCAATGTAGTGTGATCGTTCTTTCGGGAATGCAGTTACAGTTGCACGAATATACTCTAAATCAATGTAAGCAGGCTACGTGCGAAATGCGGTAACATAACTACGAAAAGCCTTGTGTGCTGATAACGAGCTTATAAATAGCTCGCGAAATACCCTAAAATGTAGCCCATCAAGAAATGTCGCTAAAAATTAAGTTCCTGAAAATGACACAGACTACCCAACTAAGCTTTTATAAGTTAAGTTGTATGCAGCTGATACATTTATAAAATATGTATTTATTTATACCATTTTAGGGTCGTTTTCTCAAGCAGATTTTCAATCTACCTTCAAATACAAATTTTGATCTAAAAAATGTGTTTGACGGGCAGATAAAATTTAAAAGCTACTTGAGAAAACGACACTAATTGAGTCAAATAAAGAACATCGGACTGAAAATATATATTTGTTTTAAGTATTTCCTATTTTTTTAATATCACTTGATACATTTTTTTAAGCTCTTTGCAAAAATATTTAAACTAGAATTTCTCGAAAAGATCTACGTGTAGGATTTTTGTTTTTGTAGTTTTATAATCTAGACATTTAAACAATTAAGGTCTACATAAAATGAGAGGTGGAAGAATGTTTCATTTATTTTCGGTTCAGGAGCATCATGGATTATAATAGAATATAATAATAAGAATATTCTTTACAATACCTTCGAAGACCTACATAAGTCAGGTATAATATGCACACAGTTGTACCGTAAATTTATCGATTTATGAAGGTCAGGTGCGTTGGACTGAAAAGGTAAGAAAACGGAAGGATCCCCTTTTCCTCGTTCTCACGATAGTCAGGTCTATTTATTCGGAACGACTTAGATTTATAACTAGCCAAGGACTGCGATCCAGTATTTGGGGAATTTTTATGATGTTACAAAAACAAGATCTCTGTGGTCTGTTATGCCTGAAGAAAATTCCAGAGCACCTTTGAACCGACTTCATATAAATTTCTCCATATGTTATTTACTTTACTACTAGATATTTTTACCATTATCCTTGAGTTAATTGGTGAATCCTTCAGGTTCGTTTCACTGGACAAACTCTCAAGATGATCAAATTACAGTACAACTAACTTTATTTTACAAGAAACACTTTATAGTACTTGTCAAGGAAATTCTGTATTTCACTAGCTTGGAGTGAAAAGTCCACTTTTTAGGGAAACTCATATTTTGATACAGGAGGCTAGAGAAATCTAAATGCATTGTTTCGAAAAAGATACATATATACTTGTTTTATTTACTCTCGTTTATATTCAATAATAGAAAATTTTGCTTAATTTCAAAGAAGCACCGAAAATCCGATAAGGCCAAAATTGTACGAAATCTTTTAATAAAGATCGAATCTCTCTGATTCGTATGGAGTTTTGCTTAGCTTTGAACACGCAAAATGATGTATTCAAAATTTTGCAAAATACTTGAAGAAAATGGGTATACGAATTTTTTTCCTCTCCTTTAAAATTTTTGAAATAGGATTCAAAAACTTTTCACTCTAAGCTAGCGATGTTTTCAATGGTTTGGAAGAGGCTGTTATTGCATTGAGAGCCAGTTCTTAAGTTTTTAAGTTTTTCTCACATTTGAACAAATAAATCTTCAACTCATAAATTTTCATTTGTTTATTTGGAATTTATTTGGCATTTGAATCATTTAAATAGAGTATACTCAAAATGCTAGCAAACGTCAAAAAACCCAAGGGCGGACGAATTGAGCGAGCGGTTATACCTTTATGCTTGAAATACAATACCGGCGAACGGCAAACTTCGCCGAAT